AAGAAAGAAAGAGAATTCCAGGTTGAAGCAAGGAGAGGGTTGTAGAATACTCATGGCTTGAAAGCAAAGATAAAATAAAATAAAATAAAATAAAATAAAATAAAATAAAATAAAATGGGACCAGTAAAGGGGAGGGCTGGAAAACGAGAGGGGGAGGGGTGAGCAGACCATAAGCCAGGCTGTGGTGGCGCACGCCTTTAATCCCAGCACTTGGGAGGCAGAGGCAGGCGGATTTCTGAGTTCGAGGCCAGCCTGGTCTACAGGACAGCCAGGACTACACAGAGAAACTCTGTCTCAAAAACAAAAAACAAAAAACAAAACAAAAAAAAGAGCAGACCATAATGATATGAACACTTGGCTTGTAAAGCACATCTTTAATCCCAGCACTAGGGAGGCAGAGACAGGTGGGCCTCATTTGAGACCAGCTTTGTCTACATTGTTTCTCTGTGTAGCCCTGGCTATCTTCAAATTCACTCTGTAGATCAGGCTGGCCTCGAACTCACAGACATCTGCCTGCTTCTGCCTCCCAAGTGCTGGGATTAAAGCCTGAGCTACCACCACCCGGCTAGATAATGAGTTCCAAGCCAGCTACAACTACATAGTATGGCCTCACTCAAAACAAAAAAATAAACAAAAAAGTACATATGAAAATGAAAACTTTTAAAAGATTTTTATTTTTAATTATATGTATATGTAGACAGGCTGTACATGTGTGTGCAGTGCCCACAAAGACCAGAAGAGGCTGTTGGATCCCCTGGAGCAGTTGGGAGCCAAGCTATATGGATGCTGGAGACTGAACTTGAGTTCTCTTAACCACTGAGCCACCTCTAGCCCCCCAAACAAAGAAAGTCTTTTTAAAAGAAAAGAAGGAAATGGGAGCAGGTAAGCCTGAGGCTAGCTTTGGCCTCCCCAGGGAGAAGTGATGGTGAGTTCCAGACTCAGCCTCTGGTGAAGTCCAGGAACCTGCAGGGCAGGTGGACCAAAGAGAAAGCCATGAGCGCGGCCCAGAGGAAGTGTGCTGGGATTGGAAGGCACAAAGGTAGCAACCACAGCTCAGGCTCTCTGCAGCCAGCCAGTCACTGAATGTCACAGCACCACCGGGAACAGTGTCTGGAGGACTCTCAAGTCAAAGGGCTAAGCAGGAGGCAGCTGACTGTCAAGGCAGGATCGTGCGTGCACAGGAATCTGTGGGCAAGGATAGGAGGTGATGAGAGGCCTGGCTGCCACTCTGTCATGAATCCACATGAGGGTCCTTGTCCCTGCCGCCCTGGATTCTAAAGAGAGTAGAGGTGTGTAGCTGCCATTCTGAGTGTCAGATAGAGTCTATACAATCTAGGAACCATCACTGACTATTTGCATGGGACCCTGCACACCCAATGTGGGCGGGAAGCCTACGGGTTCAGCGGGCAATGAAGACATTTGGGCACCTTCACAGCTGATTTTGCAGACACACGGCTACATGCACACACACGCACACACCCTTCCTATATGGATCATCTGTCTCATGGGACAGAGTGAGAACAGGAAAACGAAAGTCTGAGGCCATGTGGTACCGTCTTTCGGAAGGATGGTGGCCTGCTTGGTGAGCTGCAGAATATGGCATGTGTCCAGGAATTCTCGCAAACTCAGGAAGCTGGAGATGTTCTGTCTGTCTGTAGTTGGAGACAGAATCGGAGCAGCAGGGATCCCCGTATGACATTTGGAGGGCTGCCTCCTGATCTTCCGTGCTCCCTCTCACTGTCACTCTGACCCTACACTCAGTCCATGGTAGCACATCCAGGCCTGCCACTTCCGAAACACTCCTCTGCTCTGCTCTTCCCACAGATCCCTCCTCCCACCATGTCACCTCCTCCCCAATACTTTTCCTAACACTCCTTGTCCCCACCAGGTCCAGCCACCTAGTCCGTTTCCCAGAGAACTCATACCCCACAGCCCTGCCTCCTCTCGGGCAGCACCCTAACACTTACACATAAGGCTGTCTCATGCTGCAGCTCCTGTATCTAGACCTCTCCTGGTGAGGCTCTCCAGTCTGCTTACCCTATTGCCACCACCTCCAACCCTACCTACAGCAAGTGCCACTTCTACAGCCCCCCTCAGACTACCCTTTACCAACCATTCCCCCTCTCGGTTGGCTAGCCTTATCTTCCCTTCACCCTCCCCACCTTTATGTCTCTGGTCCCTGAGCACTCCAACACCGTGGCTTTGACACCCAAAGGTGATTTTGCACATAGTACTCACTGAAAAGCAGCAGGCTCTTGTAGTTGCTGACTCCACGCCCCAGGCGGAGATATACCAGGCCATATGTGTAGTCAGTGGACAGCACATGTAAGCCCTTTACCCCCTTGACTGCAAGAGAGGTGCCAATGGTCACTGGTGCCTGCACATCCATGCCCACCCACAGTACAGAGCCCTCACTGACCTCACTTCCCAGGCCAGACCATTCAAAGGAATTCAGTCAGCTCTGGAACTAAGGCCAGCCTGCTCACCCATCCTGGGTGTTCGGCCTGCCTGCCACGTGCTCGGTTTTCCATGGCCCACACATCCTACTCACGGGTATTCCTGAACACAGGTCTCTTCCTGTCTTTCTTCAGAGTCACCTCCATGGACTGGCAACCCCGAGGCCTGGAGGACAGATACTGTGAACTGGGCCAGAGGGCCTTCTCATCCACTGGCTGCCACCTTCTACTGCCAGCTTCTCCCGGTCTACTCACCCTCTGTCCCTAGAGCCCGGGGCTGGGGCTGGGGAGGCAAGGTGGCCAGTCTGGAGGAGAATCTTCTAATTTGGGCAAAGGCCTGCCCAGAGCTGAGAGATCTACTCCCAACACCCCATCCCTGCCTCTCACTATTTCTCCCCAAATCACTCCTTGGGTTTTAGGGGACAAAGAGGGAGTGGGAACACCTGACAAGGCTGTCTCTTCTCAGGACTCCACACTGCCTCCAGAACTGACCCTGGCTAGCCTGCAACAGTGTACCAGGACAGCTCCACATCACACCCCCTTACCGGCTGAAGGCGATGACCACCCTGAGCTGGCCTGTTTTGTGCACCTTGATCACAGACGCCCCCAGCTTCCTCTTGTCTCTAGCCGGTAGGAAGCCCTGGGTGTCTGTGGCGATGGCAATAATGTACCAGAAGCCTGAAAACTGCAGAGGCATGGAGGAAGGACAGCATGAGCTGTCACACCATGCCTGTCCAAGATCCCAGACAGAGGGCAGACCCAGACTGCATCTGTATCTACAGGGTAGTACTACCCCATCAGGCTAGGCTGAAGAGGAGCCAGTGCTTGGCTGGTCAGGTGCCCCAGAGGCTGAAGCCTGGGCTGGGTCCATCCTACCCAACTCAGAGGCCCCTTCCCTCTTGGCTTTCCTGTGACATGAATGCTTAGTCCTTTCCCTTGCCCCTGAGCCACTAGCCACCAGCTCTTCCCCGCAGCAAATCCCTTGCTCCTAATAACTCTGAGATTGTGTGTGCTATTCACATTGTGAGGCTAGCCACTGTGCCTGCAGTTCTGCTTCACACATCAAGTGCTTGGCTCTCCACCCCCTGCTCCTCTTACAGCCTCAGCTCCTTTAGAGGTGACTGTGGTGGGAGAGAACAGGGAACTAACACAGCTGGTCTCAACAGCTGCTGTGTTCTGCCCTCCTGCTGGGGACATTACCTCAGATGGTCTCACAGCTGGAGTTGGTTCCTTGCACTCTAACCCTAGCACCTGATGAAGGTAGCAAGGGGCATGCGGCTAACCTTGCTCCAGTTGAGGGTCTGGGCCTCCTTAGGGAAAAACTCCTGTGTCCAGGACACCACAGCCAGGACTAGAGCTATGGCTAGGGCCATCTCCAGTTTCATCCTTAGCTCAGACAGCTCAGTTTAAACCTGTATCTCACTGTATCTGCCCTGTTATAGGGTGGGACCCACCCACCCTGGAGCCTCAGGCTGCTTTAATGGGTGGGGAAGAGGTGGGCAGGTGTGGCTTCAGGCTGTGCCTCTCCTTCTGAGGGCCTGGCCACTGTTGGCTGCAGCAGACATTGGCTGCCTGGAAGGCCCTGAAGATGGACACCTCAATATTCTTAGAAGCCATATGGAGGCTGATCCTCACATCCCTCACTCCTGGAAGGCCTCACCTAGCCCTGGTGCCTTGGGACTCTCACAAACCTAGTTTAGGTGAGAGGCAGAAGCCTAGAGTGTCTGAGACTAGCCTCTTGGACTTTTATGTACACAGAATAAGCAGTAGCCGCTAGGCATAAACTTTGGGACTCCTTTCCCAGTGGATTCTGAGAGGATACTGATGCTCTTCCAGGGTAGGGAAGAGATGGGGAGGTACACTCATGTGTGCACAAGCTTTGACCTCCTCTTACCCCACCCCATACATGTGTATTACTTTCTAATGTATGACATCATTCCACCATTTCCAGACTTGATATCCCATTTCTAATGAGGGCCCACAGGCTCAAGCCTTTAAGAGTTCCATACCACCACCATCACCCCCATGCCCACTCCAGCCAGCAGCTAAAGCCCTGGGCAGAAAAAAAAGATCTCGAGCCCTGGCTGTGTCTCCCTGCTAGGAAGCTGAGGGATACTGACCTCCCCTGCCAAACCGGCTGTGGATTCTGTGTCCTCCTGCTAGTCAGCCTTTGGATGCTAACCCCCTACTAGGCTGTTGGTGGATGCTATCTGTGCTCTCCTACTGTGCGACACGCAGTTGCCTTCCTGCTCAGAAGGCCTAGATGGTTAGATTCTGATAGTCCAGTGGCTGCCTTAATAATGTCCTGACCTACTCAACATAGCCTAGCCAGGCGCCCCAGCCTCTGCCGCCCCAGGGGCTATATCTTGCCCTCAGTGAAAAACTCCCGGCCCTATCTTTAGGCTCAAGAACTCTAGCAAGGGAATTCTTGCAAATTCTTTTGTCTCCAAGCTGGCTCTGTGGTCCCATGGTCTGATCTCTGGTGATGTTGTCTTCCACAGCACAGGGACTGCCCCGAGCCCCAGAGAAGACACATGTGGCAGGTTTACTTGTAAAATCACTTTATTTTAACCCAAGCGAGAGCCTAGGGGAGCAACTGACCAACACCAGTACCACCAGCCACTGTGCAAAGACAGTGCCTGCACATCTCCACCAGGATGCCAGGATGCTGCGGTGCCATCTCTCGGGTGTGACGCTCACTAAAAACCAGGGCAGGTGTTGTGGTCGAGCTCATGTTAGCCATCGTCCCCACATGGGCTACACAGGCTTTGGAGATGGTCCACCCAGAGCCCCAGGCTCCTCCTGCTCCCCAGGGAGCCGAGAGTGATGCACAGAAAGGTGGCCTTCCCGGAGGATCTTGTGTGCACAAGTGACTGTAGAGGAACCACGTCAGTTGTGAGAATGGGGCTGCAGCCGCTCCCAGGACCCTACCCACAGCCTCTTTTGAAGAAGCTGTCCATACAAGCCTGCCTATGACAAGGCATAGGTGATCCCTTGAGAGCCACAAGTCAGGGAAAGCGGGAGATGTGGCACTGCCCCCTTGGTCACTCCTTATGTGCACCAGAGCTTCCTGTGCTCCCCTTAGGCCCACACTGGTAACACTCACAGTCCCTCTGCAGCTGGGCCTGCTGTTGAGACAAGAAGCCCAGACCATGGCTCCATTTCGTGAACAGCTGAACGGCTTCGTGGCTGGCCACCTCAGTTCGACCTGGGCATGAAGAACCAGTCTCTGAGAGGCAACCAGAGTGTGGCTGTGACCCCTGCCCCTTTCTTTACCCCAATCCCTAGGCAACCTAAGGGTGGGTAGGGGATTGACCCTGTATGTTCCTCACTAGGGGCTGAGGACACAGAGCACTCACCTGGGTCTGCAGTGCCAGGGACCCTGATCAACCTTGCCAGACCCCACTTACTGTACAACTCCACTGTGTTGAAGACCTCATCCCCAAATTCCAGCTGTGTGAAGATGACAGCGTAGTCTTTGAAGTTAGTGCCCAGTACCCGATAATCCAATACACCCAGAGCTAGAAAGCAAACGAAAGACCTAGGGGTGGCAAGGGGAGCAGGGCTGTCGTGCCGACCAGACGTGAAACCGGGATTGGACACTAAGGTGGGAACAGATCAGGGTAAGACCTGATCCAGCCTCACCAGAGGTCTCAAGTTCTGGCCCCAGGCCCCTACATTGTGCCAGCAAGAAGCAGCTGTTGGTTACTAGTCGACATATGGACAGCTAAGCTTGTCCCAGCTCAGCCTGGGGTGACTAAAGACCAAGGGGGTCACCCTCCCCCAGTCCTATGCTATCAGAGGAAGAACACTACTGAACCTTCCTTCTGAACCCACAAAGGAGCTCGAGACTAGGACCCCCACGGGCATCTGGGCACACAGGGATGGAGAACTAAGACCTCTGTTCAGGGACCTTTTTCCCACTGAGGATTGACCCCAGGGTCCTGACTGATGGATCCTTTAGCTGCCCACAGAGCTGTGCCAAGGGCTCTGGAGCAGAGTGGCCTCCTTCCCGCCAGGCCTGGCCCCACCAACTGCAGCACAAGAATACAGAGGAGCTGGCCTCCCTGGCGATCTGATGAGCAGGACCCAGGGCCGTCATACTCACAGGGATTCTCAAACACCCATCGGGAATCTTGCTTCAGCAGCTCCACCGTGCTCTGATGACACCCATCTAGCCTAGGAAGAATGGGAGAAGGGCCTCTCAGAGTCACACCTGGCCCACCAATGGGAAAGGCCTCATCTCTTTCATGGTGCCTGGGTTACCCAAAAACCCCACCCTGAGGCCTGAGAAGCACTAGCCATTCCCTTTATTTCCCAAGGGACCCACACTGTTGGGTGCTAAGGACTCAACAGACGTCAGCCTGCAGTTCAACTGAGTAGCCACTATCCAGAGTCCTCCATGGTGTCAGCCTCTGAGGTGAGAAACCACAAGAGACATACAAGAAGGCCTGTTGGGCAAAACAAGTGGCTTCAAAGGTTGCTGGGAACAAGACACCTGCAGTGGGAGATGCTGGGGAAGTTCTGAGAGAAGAGCTGTGCATGCTGCTCCAGCAGACACGGAGGCATACCCAGAACCCCAGCACCATCCGGGTAAGCAAACAGATTCAAAGGACAGAGAAAACTAAAAACAAAGAAAATTTACCCAGACATGCATGACAAAGGTCATAATTCAGCAGTTTGGGGCTGCTCGGCAACCTGCCTCATATAGAACGAGAGTCCAGGCCAAGTTCTAGAAATACCAGAAAGAAAGAGGAGCCCCTCGCTACTTCATGGCACAGAGAACTCACAGAAGCAGAGGCTGGCATACACCCAGGGCAAAAATAATAACATTTAATAGAAAAAAAAGTTCCCCTCAGGCCTGGAGAAATAGCTCAGCAGTTAAGAGCAATCACTCGTTGGTCTTTGCAGAGGACACAGTTTCGGTTCCTAATACTCACATGGTGGCTCACAACCATTTGTAACTTCAGTATCGTGGGATCTTATGACCTTTTCTGACCCTTGTGGGCACTAGGCACGCATATGGTACACAGACATGCATGTAGGCAAAACGTTCACACACATAAAATATTTTGAAAAAGCCCCCGACATCAGAAAATCAAACTGGGAAATATATTTATAACTAGTTTTTATCACAGACTAATAAATTGCTTAAATTCCCCTTTCTCACAAACAAGTGAAAAACACTATAGAGAAACAAATAAGCAGACTATTTAAAGAGAGCTCACCAGGAAGGAAGCATAGAAGACATGTTTGAGGGTCTCAGTATGACGGACAGGCACATGTGTTGGGTGGTGAGCCATCAACACCTACACTCCTAGCATGGGGAGGTGGAGGCATGGGCACACCAACTACAATAGGGCGGGCTCTGTAGGGAGATTTCTCAGGGGTCTCCAGTCCTTGGGTGGGAGACAGGAAGCACAGAGGAGGTATCATTGGCTGGGGAGGAGATGGGGATCCAATGTTACTGGATGGTACAGTATAAATATGGAATGCCCCATAGGCCATGTGTAAGCTTGACCTCTGCCAGTACTGGAGGGAACAGATAGAGCCTGGTGGGAGGAAGTTTGGTCATTGGAGGTCATTTCCTTCAAGGGGAAATTGAGATGACTCTCTTCCTTCCCCTCCTCCTCCTCCTCCTCTTCTTCTTCCTCCTTTTCCTCCTCTTCTTCCTTTTCCTCCTTCTCCTTCCTAGCACCATGAAGTGAGCTGCCTCCTCAGTGCATCTTCTACCATGATGTAATACTAAGTTACCATAGTCTCAAGGCAATAGGGTCAGTGGGTAAGCAAGGACTGGAACCTTTGAACTCATGGGCCTACGTAAACCTTCTATCCTTATAAATTGTTTATCTTGGATATTCTGCCATGGTGATGGAAGGCTGTCTCCTGGGGACAAACTTTCCATTTGGGAAGATGATGGTGCAGGAGGCAAGAGTGATCACTATGACACAGGGTGACAAAGTACTTTACAAAGTAAGAATCACAAAACAAAAGCCCTGGCTGGCCAAAACTGCCTGACCAAAACAAGGTAGAAGAAACAGACTCAGCTGCCTGCCTTTACAGACTCCAGTTTTTAACTTCCCAATACATTTCAAAGAACAACAAAGAGAGAATTAATAGAATAGAGGATATCCCTTGACTCTCCTGAGACCCATCCTGCCCTCCATGGGCCCAAGACTGCCGAGATGCCTGTGAGTGTTTTGTTCTGCTGGCCTCACAGGAACCCACTCACTCATTCCCTGTTGAGCAACTTAGCCAGATATGTGGTCTGGTGTTCATAAAAGCTACATGGAAGATGCACCTTAACTGAGGCCTCTCTGCCCCTGCTCCTCCATGTCTTCCTAGGCCCATAGGTGGAAGAGGCCCTGCCAACTCACCCATGCCGAGAAGACTGAACTCTCAATTTGTTATCTGGAGTAAGAGTCACCACGACACCTTCCACATTCTTCATGCCCTTCTCCAACATGAAGTCCTTTGCATGGGAGGCCATGGCCAGGATGTACCAGGGCCCGAGGAGCTAGAGAAGGCATCAGCTGAGACATCTGGCTGTCCTCCCTCAAAGTTCCCTCTGTCACACAACTCCAAATCCCTCCACCCACACTGTTATACACTGACTCTTGGGAACCCGAAAGCTGTGTGGTCTCAAAGGTGGAGCCGGACCCCTAGGACCTGCTGCCCAGAAAAGTCGTTACCTGCTTAGGGTCCAGCCTTCCCAGCCACACTGCCTTCAACCAGGTCACAGACACCAAAGCAAGAAGAGCAGCAGTCAGAAGGATCACCTTCATTCTCCCAGAGGTGCAGGCACACTACACGACCAGCCAGGATGTACCATCTCCAACCAGGAAACAATTTATATCTCTGAGTGCCTTGGTGTGGGTGGCCACTAGCTGCCTGGATATCATCCCGATCTTTCTCAAAGCAAAATTACTCAGGGTGGAGGAGGGTACTGCTGTGGTGGCCTTGGTGCCCAGCTCAGACAGTTGGCCGAGACGAGAGGCTCAAGGAGCTTGTTCTAATCAATAGTACAGTGCCAATTTTATGTCTGTCCACACCTTCTTCCCAAGAAAGTTCAGGAGTAAGCTGGCCACCCTGCCTTCTCCCCAGCTGAGTCTGTTCTTCACCTGCAGGCCAAGCAGGCCAGAGTTCTGTCCTTGACCAAGCAGGTCAAGTCCAAGTCCTGGTTGGTCAAGCTCACGTGGTCTGTCCAGAAACTGCTGTCTCAGACATCTTTAATCCCAATCATTAAAAACATAAAAAGCTGCCTCTAACTTTTGAAGCCTCTATCATCTCCCACACCAGTCCACACAACCTCGTGATCTGCTGGCCTGTGTCCTTCCACTGGCTCCAGCAGCAGCCCTGCAGCCACTGTCCTGTTCACTCTGTTTCCATGTCTGGATCTGTCCATTCTCCATGCATCTCTGGCTGAGCCAAAACTACCTAAGGGCCAGACCCTTAGGACTCTCAGAAGCAGTCGGGCAATCTCCAAACTCTGCATCTCCATGGCTGATGGCAAAGTTGTCTTCAGATCTCCAAATCTTTTTTCATCTTTGTTGACTGTAACAAACTTCTTTCTCCTGGGCTATTTCCACTCCCTGTTAGCAGCTTTCCTCAGGAGATATCCCATAGCTCTGGTATCTCAACATCTTGGGGTCTCCAAGGCAACTTTAATGTTACAGTTTCTTGTTCCAATGTCTGGGATCCACATGTGATCTTCTGGCTCCTCCAAAGGGCTGGCATCACTTCTCCAGCTCTCCCTCTGTAGCACTCTAAGCTCAAGATGATCCACTCCACTGCTGCTGCTGTTCTTGGTGGTCATCTCATGGTACTGGCGTCTCCAATACACTGGAATCTTCTGCTGTAACTGGGCTTCACCAATAGCCTCTCACAGGCTCTCTTCACGGTGCCAAGCCTCAACTCCTTTGTATGTATGACCCCTTCAGTCCTGGGCCATCAACTGCAATGGAGGCTGCACCTTTATCAGTGGCCTTCCCTGGCCTCTCAGAGTGCCAAGCCTGTTAGACTTCGGGGCGCAGCTTGGAAAAGACAACACCAGACCAAACGGTTCCAAAGGGGAGGGGGTTTATTCAGGGCAGAGGGCAAAGGTAGGGAGAGAAATGGGAGAAGATGGTGGAGAAAGAGGAGAGAGAGAGAGGAGAGAAGAGGAGGCCAGCCATGACCACGTGGAGAGAGGGGGAAGGGAAGGGAGGAAGGGCAAGGAGAAGCTAGAGGCAAGAGAGTAAGAGAGAGAGGAGGAGGCAAGCAGCCCCTTTTATAGCGGGCAGGCCTACCTGGCTGTTGCCAGATAACTGTGGAGATGAGTTTAGACAGAATACTAACAAAGCCTCAGCTGCTTTTCTTTTTCTTTTTCTTTTTTTCTTTTTTTTTTTGGTTTTTCGAGATAGGGTTTCTCTGTATAGCCCTGGCTGTCCTGGAACTCACTCTGTAGACCTGGCTGGCCTATGAAATCCGCCTGCCTCTGCCTCCCAAGTACTGGGATTAAAGGTGTGCGCCACCACCGCCCGGCTCCTCAGCATGACCCCTTCAAGCCTTCAAAACCAGTATCACCTGGGTGACTCTTACACATTACCAAGTACAACTGCAACATGAGATACAACCTTGGCTATCTCTGGAACATAGCTTCCTTGTGCTCTCAGAAAATACTTCCCAGAAGATTTCCTTTAGTGACGCTGGTCTCTTCTTAATCACCACTAATTTCTTAGCTCCAGCTAACCAGTTGTCCCAGTAGTTCCTTCTTCTGGACTCTAAAGCCAGAACCACACAGCTGAAGCAGCCGTGCTCTGCTGCTTGCTGGGCCGGAACATGACCTTCCCTCCCAGCCCCCCTCCCCCAACCTTATTCTATTACCAGCTTTCTGTTTTCCAACTCCCTCACTGCCTAAACTAGGTTGTCCTGGATCTTGATCTGTAGATTGACCTTGAACTCAGAAATCTGCATGTATTTCTCTTGAGCACTGGGATTAAAGGTGTGTACCACCAAGCATGGATTTAAATTTTCCTTTTCCTAGAATTTGCTCCATCCCAAGCTGGACTTGAACTTAGAGATCTGCTTGGCTTTGTCTCCTGGGATTAAAGGCTTGTACTATCATGCCTGGGCCTAAACTTACCTGGGTGGGATCTGGCCCCAGGATCACTACTCCCTTAATTCAATGTAATATCTTTGAACATAGGATTCAGCTCCATTTCACTTCCTGATACCCCTTTAATACTCAAACCATATATTTTATATTTTCCTTTCTAAGTTTGCTATGCTTATTCAAAATGCTATTCGGGAGACTTAACCAGAGAACAAAGTCTGTGATGGGCGTTTCTAAACCTTCCTGTGTCAATGCAGTTAATCCAAGTCTCTTCACCTCAGCCTCAGGCAGACAGATTCTAGAGGAGAGCAAAAAGCAGCCTCATTCTTCACCAAAATACCACAGAAACAGTCTCTAGGCCACATCCTGAAGTTCTTCTACACTGAAACCTCTTGGGCCAGGTCTGCACAGTTCAAGTCACTCACCGTAACAAATTCTTCCATATTCCTACTAGTATGGCTCAATTAAGTCTCACTTAAAACATTCCATGGCTTTTCAAATCCACATTCTTCCAGACAAAAACATGGTCCAGCCTATCACAGCAATACCCCAGTCCCTGGTACCAATGTCTGTCTTAGTTAGGGTTTTACTGTTGTGAACAGACACCATGACCAAGGCAACTCGTATAAGGACATTTAACTGGGGCTGGCTTACAGGTTCAGAGGTTCAGTCCATTATCATCAAGGCAGGAGCTTGGCAGCATCTAGGCAGGCATGGCACAGGAGGAGCTGAGAATTCTACATCTTCATCTGAAGGCTGCTAGTGTCTTCCAGGCAGCTAAAATGAGGGTCTTAAAACCCACACCCACAGTGACACACCTACTCCAACAAGGCCACACCTTCTAATAGTGCCACTCCCTGGCCCAAGCATATACAAACCATCACATTCCACTCCCTGGCCCCCATAGGTTTATTCAAACATTTGAGTCTATGGGGGAACAGACCTAAACATAGCATAATAAAAAAATACATTTAGTTCAACTTCCAAAGACCCCATAGTCTATTGTAGTCTCAACAATGTTAAAAGTCCAAAGTTCAAGGTCTCTTCTGAGATTCATCCAATCGTGTAACTGTAATCCCCAAAGCAAGACAGGAAACCAATTTTACCTTTATAAACCCTCATTTGCCTATGGGCCGTGTTCGTCTCCTCTCTATCCAGAGGCAGTCCTTTGTTGCTGCCCCTCCCCCAACAAATACCCTGCCCCCCAACCCCATCTCCCCAGCCCCTGCCTTCCCTTCCCTTCTCCCTTATCCTAGTCCTCTGCATCCCGTCTTTGTCTCTTATTCAAGCCCTTTGTCCCTCAGGGCAAATAAATTTTCTTTGTACTAAGAACTTGATCTTGGGATGTCCTGAGCTAATGTTGTACCCTAAATCTTCCACTGGGACTGCTAGAGACCAAATTCAGGTCACTAAGCTTTTGTAACAAGCACTTTTACCCACTGATCCAACTTACTGGGCAAGTCTGCGAGTTCTTGAATTCAAATATGACTTATTAGAGATTCTCAGTTCACAAAGAACATTCTAGTATTTATTAATTGAGCTAATGATATACTCAAGATAAATTCAGATTTTACTCTCTAAATGTATATTTTGCTTTTATTTGGAAGAGTGCTTTCCCTAGAGATTGAAATTTGAGATAAATGGAATCTGAGATTCTTCTTCCTTCTCCTCCTCCTCCTCCTCTTCCTTTTCCTCTTTTTCCAACTATGTCCTCCGTCCTCTCCTGGATTGTCCTACCTGCATAGGAGGTAAGACATCTGCATCCACATTTGATACATGTTCTTGAGTTTTGCTATTGCCTCCAAAGCCTTGGCTTTGCTGTGCGGAATGTGATACCTGCATGTGATTTTTGTGTTTGTTTCTTTATTCTGCTCATTTTCTCTAAATGTTGGGAATTAAATTGATGTTTTCATCAAGTTTACGTGTAACGATATTTTATAACTTTATAAAATATTTTTATATTTTTATCTATATAAATTTTATAATTTGGTATTATTTTAAACTTTAGGACACTGTGGTGACTAACTTTGTCAACATAGTTAGATTAATGAATGCCATGGACCTTGGTGAAGCACACCTCTGGGGGGTGTTCCACAGAGCTTTAATTGAAGAGGAAAGTCTTACTTTAACTGTAGGTCATCATTGCACATGCTGGGGTTTCATGGACTGAATACACAGAAGGAAAGGAAGAAGCCATTGCTGGCATCCACAGTCTCTGCCTCAAGATTCTCAGAGTCCCAGAGTCCCAGCTACATGCTCTCACTGCAGTGAACCCTGCCATGCCTTCCCTTGTATGTCAGACAGGGCCCTCTCAGGTCAGGAGTCAACATAAATCGTTTTTTGTTTGGTTGGTTTTTTGTTTTGTTTGTTTGTTTGTTTGTTTGTTTTGGCCAGGTATTTGGTCACAGTAAGAGAGAATTAACTCAGACACTGTTGATTCAAATATGTTTCTACATGTTTCTTGCTCTTCTGTTTTACTGCTTTGAACATGCATGCATGCAGAGGTCACAGGTTGACATCAGGTGACACTATCACCATCTACTTTGTTTGTTTGTTTGGTTGGTTGGTTGGTTGGTTGGTTGGTTGGTTATTTGGTTGGTTGTTTAGTTGTTTAGTTGTTTGGTTGTTTGGTTGTTTGGTTGGTTTGTTGGTTGATTGGTTGTTTGGTTAGTTGGTTGGTTGGTTGGTTGGTTGTTTAGTTGTTTGGTTGGTTGTTTGGTTGGTTGGTTGGTTTTTTGAGACACAGTTGCTCATTGAACCTGAAGCTCATCAATATGTCTAAAGAACTTGGCCAGCTCTTGCCCAGGGGACCTCTGAAATAACCTCAGTCCTCTCTCCTCTCTCCCTCAGACCGGAACATCTATCCCATCTGTTGTCAAGTCCATCTGGCGACCATTCAACTCTGAGATTTCCTTGTAGCTCTTTGTTCAAGTCCTGTGTTGTGCTCAGTTCCTCTTCTCTGCTTACTGGTTATTTATTCATTTATTCAGGAATCCTTTCTTTCCACTTAGCCGTGATTCCCCTTTTTTCTCCCGTGGGTCCTACTTTTCCATTTGTAACTGTTCTATGAAGCACAGTTAATAATGCATTACAATGTCTCTACCTAATGCATTTCAACAACTGGAGAGATGGCTCAGTGGTTAACAGCATTAGCTGCTCTTCCTGAGAACCCAGGTTCAATTGCAATACCCACATAACCTATAACCAACTGTAACTCCAGCTCAAGGGGATCCAACGCCCTCTTCTGGCCTCCTGGGGCACTGCATGCACGTGGTGCACAGACACACATGCAGGCAAAACACCCGTACACATAAAAATACTTTAAAAATAAATAAAAGCCCTATTAGAAACAAATAGATAACAAAAAGCCCTGCATTCTGACACTCTGCAAGACATACTTTGTTACCAACTGGGTTCAACGGTGGCGTCCAGTTCTGACCCTCCTGTCATTGTGTTAGAGAAGTGAGGCTCCTGTGGAGCCAATCATTGGGACTCTAGGCACGGGAGCTAACATGGGAACAGGGAGACTGATGGTAGGGAGCACTCTCTCCTCAACTCCCATGTCCACCAGCCAGGAGGAGAGCCCTAACCTAAAAGTGGACTGTGGGGCTGTGGTGCCTGCACATAAGCATGGGTCCCATGTGTCTGCTGCACCAGGCGTCTGGAACCAAGGCTCAAGGGGCAGGAATTTGACTGTGCTCACTCCACACGGAGCCAAGCAGATGCCAGGCTAGGGGAAGCCACTGAGTTCCACTCTGGCCATGGGGAGATCCCAGTCTGAGATCCCCTGGGGGCAGAGCTCTTGGGTTGAAGGTCTCTGGGCTGAGGCGGCTGGCAGGAGACCAGCTGGTCTCAGCCCTTGGGCTCCCAGGCACCACTAGGAGACCTCGGAAGGACTGAGATGGGGGTCGGGGGGGGCATAGAGGCCGGACTGGCCCACAGCCGAAAGGGGCAAGGGAGAAAAGCTCTGGCGGTGCCCCGTGGGGTGGATGAGACTCTTGGTGGAGGAACTTGCTTGGCTGGGTCATGGCTGGCTTGGCTAGTTTGCTTGAGTTGACAGGCCTCCATGGCTGGATGGTAGAGAAGTCCTCCAGTGGGAGATTAGGTCCTGGCTCATTGGTTGAAGGCCCCCTCTACAGTTCTCCATGGTGGGCCCAAAAGACAAGAGGAAGTCATGGTTTTAAAAGGTTTATTGTCATGGTGGAAAGTGGATGAAGCTGTACCCTGTGTTTTCAGGACAGGCCTGAGGTTAAATACCTTTTGTGAGTAGGAGGAGGGTCTGGTAAGGAATGCTTAATTGGCTATGCCCTCTGGCCTTTAGGTATCTCATTAATATGGAGATCTCTTGAGGCTCTGTGGCCTATAGTCATGCCCTCTATCTGTGGAGGGGCTGGTAGGGGTGTTGCCCTACATGACTGAAAGGCACAGATCAATGGAGGTCTTCGGCCTCATATCCGGAGCCTGGAGTCTGGGAGCATAGCGAAATGCATGCTGTCCCTTGCAGGGGTACCTGTTGGGTCTCCGGCCATCTCTAGCCAATGCTCGACCAGAATCCAAGCTAGCTTTTCACCGTCCTACAATGGACATTCTCCTGATCATGTGTAAGTATGTGTGAGTTATTGTGTACATGTGCGTGCGTTCATTCATATGGAGGCCAAAGGTCAACAGCAGGTGTCTTCCACACTCAGTCTCCACCTTATTTGTTGATACAAAGATTCTAACTGAACTGAAAGCCCAATAACTTGACTACATCAGTTGGCCAACAAGGCCCAGGGATTCTTCTGTGTCTACCTCCCAGCATGTGTTAAAGAGGATTAGATCCAGATCTGAATATTTGCACAGTTAGCACTTTACTGACAGAGCCACGTCCCCAGCCCTGAAAATGAACTTGCTGGCCCCTGACTGTGAACTTGAGATCCAGCTCCAACCCTGTGCAATGATGCACCGTGGCTGGAGTCCACAGTAGGGCTAGCCTGTGCAATGTTGCACTGTGGCTGAACTCCACAGTAGGGCACCTGTTATGAGTCAGCAGGATAAATCTAGCAGGAAGTCCGGTCACAGGCTAAGCTCTGGGACTTGGTGAGGGTGTGGACCAGAAGCTCTGAGGGAAATCACAGTGCTCCCCAGTACCCTCACACAGTGCTCCCCAGTACCCTGGGCATGTCAGAACTTCACCTCTGGATGCCTCCTCTGAGGTTTCTCTAGCACTTGGTTCAGGGTTAGAGGAGGGTGATGGGTGTGGAGTTTTCCTTTTGTGGGCCACTGTGATGTCCCACTCAGATGCCTGGGTGTTAGTAACATCTCTCCACTCTAGCTGGGCTGACTCTCCATCACCCCACAACACTGTTCCATGGCAGGTATCACTCGCCTGCTTCCATCTTGGGGCTACTACTCTCATTAAGGAAGCTTCTAGTTGCCTTATTCTCCAAATAAAACCCATGTGCCCTGAGGAGCTGGTGCTCAGATCACCCCATATTCTTCTCCTTTCTGGCTTCTGGCTGCGGCAGCAATGGTGGAAGTCCAGGATAAGTGGACAACAGTGGCTTTAGGCCATGGCATGAGGGAAACAGATGAGCACTCAGGGGTATACACACCAGCAGAAGTCACAGAGCTGGATGGGACAGGTGGAACAGGGGACTAGAGGGCAGCCATATCCAGGAAGGCCAGGAAGCAATGGGTCGGGATTTGAATGCTACACAGTAGGGAGCCTTAGGAATATATAGGCAGCATCCCCCTTCCATTTGAGAGAGCTACTGAGACTCCAGAGGAGGCTTGCTCTCATCTCTGCTTGGGACCTGTGAGGGCTGCTTCCAGATCACAACAGACAGGAGACTGCTTCAGAATGAAGGCAAGGCTGAGGGCCAGAGTCAGTCCATCAGTGGGCAGACCCTGATCCAGCTATGTGAGGTGTGTCCATTACAGTATTCACAGAAAAATGTAATGCATTCACATTCAGCAGGGTCGCTGCGGACATGTGAGAAGCCTGCACAGGTGGCCTGGCCCTAGCTGCTCAGCTCTTCACCTGGAGGCTGGAGATTGTGGTCTCTGCCCATAAAGACAAATTTGTGGGTAAAGATAATGGCAGGCCAGCAGTGCTGGCTTCAGCCTGGACATGTTGGCTGCTCATCTGGTGGCCCTTGGCGGACTGCCATGGCTTTGTCAAAGTGCTCAGAAAGACAGGCATAGGGTTGAAGGGATGGTGATGCTTTAGCCCACTTCTGCCCCTGCAACCCATCTGTCCTCATTTACTCTGCCTTCAGGAAGGACACTGGGCAGGGTGTAGCAGCAAGCTTTATTTGGCACAGGTGCAGGGACCCTTTGAGTTGGGGCAGGAGAGGCCAGGTAGGCAGAGCTATTGCTTCCTCCTCAGATCCGTTCCTGCGGGCAGAAGAACTGAGCTCAGAGCCATGTGTGGGCTCCAGGGACCCTGAGGCGCTCACTGGCCAGAGTCACAGACTAGGGTCCTGTTGTCCAGCTGCCTGGCTTTGGCAAAGTCTTGATTTCTCTATCTGAAAAATGAGTCATATCTAGGGGGTAGTAATGAGATCATGTTGGTGGTTGTTCAGCACAGTGCTGGATGTAGAGAACCCTAAGATATCCAACAGGGTCCATTTCTCCCTCTGATGCCCTCCCCGCCCTTGGCACAGAAGTCTTGAAGGGACAGAGTCAAGCAGTAGTCCTGAACAGCTATTCATGCTGAGCAGAACTGAGGACAAGGGGCATGCCACCCAGCTCTCTGTCCCGACATCCACAAGCACACCTATCCACCCACCCACTTCCCTCCTAGGACTTAGCCTGACAGCTTAGTCACACGTTGCATCTCTTTCCAAACCACAGAACAGATGCCTCTCTGGAACTGTCAAGCAATGCTGTTGGGTGTCCTGACCAGAGGAGGGGTATACACACCAGCGGGGCCAGAATCTAGTGTCAGAACACACAGGCTGCAGTGTTGAATGAAGGATGTGTGCTCACCTGCTTCAGGGCCTTGATTCACCAGCCTGCAGGGCAAGGCAACATGAAACAGAGGCAGGAGAGTGCCAGACCCCACCATGGAGACATCACCTAGTTGCTATGCCCAGAGGGGACAACTGAGTCCTCCTGATCCTCTGGCAGCCTAGGTTCTGGAAATTGGATCTGCTTATCCCAGTAAATGTGATCAGACACACTACCCAGACACCCACAGATACCAGACCAGTGTAAGTGAATACCTTTCCCTATTTGACAGAAAGGACGTGTGATGGAGCCCCCGCCCACCCTAGGTGTCCGGCACAGGCCCAGCTTCGTTCAGAGACTCACCGACTGCAATGCATTCGCACAGGTTACTGTGGACAAAAGCCAAGTGAAGGGGCAGCACGGGCTCAGGTCTGGCCCATCCCTGGAAGGCCCCGACCCCAGTGAGGCCTACTCACAGTCATGCTTGAGAATGTATATGTCTGTTTCTAAAAACCCATGCTTCAAGGCTATCTTCTGGAAATTATTCAGGGCTTCCTCATTGTCCTCCAAGCTCCGGCCTGCAGGTGAGATGGGACAAGGCTTCTATCTCACAGACATTCTCCCTTTCTGATGTAGCCCTGGGATTCTCTCCTATCCCCACCCCAGACAATGAGATGAGGCATAGGAGGGGCTACCCTCACCCCAACCCCAGATGAGTCTGGGCTGGGCTTACTGTACAGTTTTATGACCCGGTGGACTGTCCCAGACACCAGAGAGGTGACATCAATCACGGCGTACGTCATGTAGTCTGTGGCTACAACAGCGACTTCTTTCTTTCCTGGGAACAGAGGAAAATTCTAGACACCGTCTCACTTGCTTGGTCAGGGCTCTCTGTTCCTGGCTGTGCTTCTGCACACAAGCATGTGCCTACAACACACTGGGACAGCCTGGAATGGACCTTGACAGTCTGAGTGACTTTCTGAGTCAGAGAGGAGGTCAGGGATCCCCAAGGACCCAGATAAATGAATACTGAATCACACCTAGGATTTCAGAGAGGAGGCTGACAAAGCCCTGGCAAAGACAGGAGAGACTGAGGCCAGTGGCTGCAGGGACACCTGCCCAGGCTCCTGACATCTGAGCATGGCACTGAGCACACACCCTTGCACTCAGAGGTTCAGTCAGGATACACCAGACAACACCTACAGTGAGGCAGGGTCCTTTACCCATCCCCACCCAAAACAGTGGTAGGTATATACTAAGAGTAAGCCAAAGTGCCCCAGATAGGCCACAGCACCCACCAATCCTGGGATAGCATTCTTGCCTGATATTCTGGTAACCTTGAACTTCGCTGGACCGTCCATCTGAGTGGCTGTAACCTTCTCCAGCACACAGTGGTCCTCACTACAAAGACAAAGGCCTGTAATCCCAACACTGGAAGGTGAGGGTACTAAGTCAAAAGGATTGCAGTCTGAAGCCAAATTGGGCTATATACCTAACTCAAAGCAGCCTGGGCTAGACAGACAAAGAGGGTAAAAAGTGTATCCCTCAGTGGCAGTGGTATGTCTGTTCCTGTACCTCGGACTGTGTTCTTCAGACATAAGTGTTACACTTTTCCTCAGAGATTGTAACCCTTGGATGTGTGTACATCCCTGGGCAGCCTGGGCTAGACAGACAGACAGAGGTGTAGGAAAGAATGAAAGGAAGGAGAAGGAAGATAAGAGACCACCAGCCATCTGCCTACCAGGCCTTATAACGCATGTCCTGAGGGAGCAGGGTGGGTGACACAGGGGTCCAGAGACCATCCACATACAGCTGGCCTAATGTCTTCTGAGCCTATGACCCTAGAGAACAGGGCCTCTACCCAGTGACTACACAGGGAGACGGAGATGGAGCTGGAGTAACAAGAAGTGGCTGAAGAAATGTCCCCTGTGATTCCATCTGAGGCTCCACTTGCTAGTGCTGAGAATTAGGATGTGCACCCATCTGAGGGACACAGTGTGAGAAACAGTGTCACACTTGTGTCTGAAGAACACAGTCTGAGGTACAAGAACAAACACACCTAAGAGAGCCACTCAGTGCCACTGAGGGACATGCTGATATGAATAAGCCATCCAGGAGCTTGGAAACATACACTCAAGGGACAAACTTCCTGAAGTGAAGAGACACACATTCGGGGGAGAGTTACTGAGGAACACACTTGGTGGTAGAGCGACATACATATTAGGAGCATAATGAGAAGCAAAGACACATATGTGAGGTCCATAGTCTCTGAGTAACAGAGTCACACACAGCTGAAGAACACAATATTGAGGCATAGAGACATGCTTGGGTCTGAAGGACACATATTCCGAGAGCCAGGGACATACTCTGATACAGGCAGTCATCTTGTGGGACACACATTAAGGTGACAGGATACACATCTGAAGGCACACGCTCTGAGAACCATGGTTACATACATCTGAGGACACATTCCCTGGGGATCAGGGATATGCGTGACTGAGGGAGACAAGTTCATACATCCAAGGGCCACTCTGGGATGAAAGTAGAAAGTTTAAAGGGACAATCTGAGAACAGGGATGTACACATGTCTTTGTAGAAGGATCTGGCTTCAACTTGTGGAACTCAAAAGTGTCTCCCGGCCAATCGATACATGCGAACTTTGATACTGCTAGATTGAGTACCAAGATGAGGAAATGACACAGGTCAACCTTGCCTCACTTCTCAGGCCTTGACATCTGTCCATCAGAAGCTGGCATGTCTCATGACCCTAGAGCTAGGAAACTGGACCTTAAGGCTGTCTGGTCAGTTACTTGCTTCGCTCAGAGTCCAGGGTGACAGTCTGGAGGTCAAACTCTTAACATGATCACACAGTTGAAAGTCAGCCCCTAAACTGACTTGTAGACAATGGTATACTCACGATGCCAAAGATGTCTGGTCTCATCTGAAATAGTTGCCTCTTCATCCCCCTCTAGAGCCGAAGCTGCAGCACAGGCGTGGGCAGTGGTATCTCTGGGGAAAGCCTAGAGCACTGTACAGACTGCCCCAACTTCCCTCTATGGTCATAGACAAAGCCTTAACTCACTTGTAATAGGTGGTGGTCAGAGACAGAAGGTTCTCTTTCAGCTCAACTATCATGGCTCCCATCTTCTCTTCCTTGTGTGCTGAGCCTTGAGCATCCATCTTGGAGGCAAGGGCAATCTCATACCAGAAGCCTAAAAACTGGGAGATAGGGAGTAGAAAAAGGAACTACCCAGGTGTACCATCATCCAGGACCTGGGACCCTGGGGGCAATTCTCTTCCCTTCCTTTCTAAGGAATGCAACAGTCTAGAAAGGTTTAGGAGTAAAGGGTTCCATGGTAGAGTATTGAAGATTGACTCTAGGCAGGGCCAACCCCCATAGAAAGCACTAAACCTGGTCCACTGTAACTGTGACTACCTTGCTTATGTCGAAGTCCTTCACCACTGCACCCTCTGTGCCAACTGCCAGCCCCACACACAGTCCCAGCAAGGTAAAGAGCATGATGCTCTCCATATGCCTAGCAACTGAGCACATGGGTTCAGCTCCCCAACCAGAAGCCACAGCCTTTGGCTCAGAGTCTCTGGACTTTATATCCTTCCCTGTGGGTGCTTTGAATAGGCATAGAAGGTTCTCATTAGGTGGGTTGGAAGCACACTGCAAACCAGCCAAGTGGATCATCCATCTGCTAGATAGTGGGGCCTTGGGGGACCACCTCCAGGGGACACAGATCTTGCCTCTGGGTGTCCACTCATGTATGCATCTATCCATCCACTCAGTAATTGAGCTGATTCTTTACAGATATGTGTGGGTGACAGAGCAGGTTCCACCAAAGCCCCTTGGCAGGCTTTGGTCATAGGCACAGAGCAGCTAAAGACCTGCTAGGGGCACAACTCTGCCAACTGTAGCAGGTGACCCAGGCATCAGAGGCATGGAGTTGGCGGGGGCAGGACTGGGGGCACTGGAGCCATGCGTGGTTGAATCTGTGCAGCTTTATGTCCAGCAGACTGAGACACTTAAGGAGTGGGCTAGAACATCATAATCCTTTAACTCTATGCCTGTCTTTCTGAGGACTTTGAAGAAGCCATGGCAGTCCGCCAAGGGCCAACTGAGCAGCCAACATGCCAGCTGCTGGCCTGCCATTACCTTTACCCACAAATTTGTCTTTATGGGCAGAGACCACAATCTCCAGCCTCCAGGTGAAGAGCTGAGCAGCTAGGGCCAGGCCACTGGTGCAGGCTCCACAGCAAAGAGACAGCCTCTTGTGATACCATCCCCTAGGGATAGCTCGGGCCCTGATCCTTCAGGGCACAGACAAGGAGAGAGGAGTATGAGCCAGGGAGAGGCATGGAGAGCAGTTAAGGACTATGAGAATGTAGAAAGGGACGCTAATGCAGACAGAGGGATGGCCCGTTGGATCTTCTGGTAGTCCAGCTAGTGGACTGATGCACACTCTTTCTTCCTGACAGAAGTCAGTATCCCCAGCTCTTGAAACCAGTCACCCAGCTATTCAGAGGAAGCCCAGATCAAGTCAGGCAACCACCGGGGCTATGCCTAGGTTCCTCGTCTCAGCCAGCCCCAGGTTAGCAGCCAAGCCTCCAATCCTCCCTGAAAACCTCAAGAGTGTCGGGTTTATTCAGAGCTGAGCTGTCCAGATGCTGGCAATCTCATGCTAGAATTTGTGATTTGGAAGTGATCCCTGAAGGCCAATGAAGTAGCTCTGGAACCTTTGACACCAGGAGTTTTGCAGGGGGCCGTATAACCAGCAGTAAGGATCTGTATTCTTAGAAAGTCTCTGTGCAAACAAACAAACAAAAGAAGCCTCCTGTTTTTTGATCAAATAAACAAACCCGGCAACACCTTTCCTGTCTCCAGAATGCAATGCCAGATACTGGGTACTGATTTCAGGAAAGGGGCCCTGGCATGGAGTCTATTCTGTCCTTTGAATGGCAGCTTCCCAGCTGTCCAGTGGGGACAAGACACGTCAGAAGGATGTGTCAAGTAAAGATAGGTGCAGAGGTGCAGCCAGCAAGGTGGGCAATGGGAAGGTCAGAGGCTCCATGGCAGCCAGAGCCACACAGTTCCACATGTATTTCCTGAAGGCCACGCTTCTAGGTCTTGACCACGAGGCAACCTTCTTTAAAAGCATCTCTCTGTTCTGAGTTTGAGGCCAGCCTGGACTACCCTGTGAGTTCCAGGACAGCCAGAGCTACACAGAGAAACCCTGTCTCGAAAAACCAAAAAAAAAAAAAAAAAAAAAGCATCTCTCTGCTACTCCTCTGCACAGCTGCACACAAAGCTCCAGACTGCTCTCACTTTTGTTTGTAACATCCTGGGGTGCCACTGGCATTTATGAGTAGGAGGGACACTATCACAAAATGAGAAGGCGATACTGGGACCCACTGCCCATGGCAGCATGGATAGGGCAGGGCAGGGCAGGGTGGAGCAGAACCTTTCCACCTGGGTGTCCAGGACTGGCTGCCCTGTATGTGAGGCACATTCACAAGCATTCCCAAAATATGCAGGCTTGTTCCCTCCACCTGGGCCAGAGAACCATTCTGTTGCCCCTTTCCCCACCCCCAGGAAAAATTCTGGGCAGCATTTGGCAGCAGGATTTATTTGGAGCAGGTGCAGAGGTTCTTCAGGCAGGAGCAGGAGGGGCCGGGTAGGTGGGGCTCCAGCCACAGACCTGGGTAGGAGCTACTCAGACCAGTCCCTGCAGGCAGAACAGCAGAGCTCAGGGCCATGCATGGCCTTCAGGGACACTGAGGCACTGGTCAAGGGTCACAAGCCAGGTACCTGCTACCCCAGCTGCCTGACTTGGCAAAGCACTGGTTCTCTGGGCCTTGGAATCTCTATCTGCAAAATGGGTTACAGTGTCAACCTCTAGGGCACAGGCTATGAGGTTGTATAGGTCATGGGTTAGCACGACACTTGACACAGGAAACCCCAAGATATCTAACAGAGCTGAATACCCCATCCCACTGTCAGGACATGAAGGGACAGAGTTAGTTGGCCCAGAACCCTGCACAGCCTTGCTGCGCAGAATAATACAAACAAGGGACCTCTCTTCCCCAACCTAGTTCTGTCCACACCCAAGAGTCTAGCATGACAGCTTGGGTCACATTGCAGACTGCTCTTTCCAAAGACTAAAAAACAGATGCATCTGAAGCTGCTAGTTGGAGCTGTTGGTTGTCTTGATCAGAGGAGGGATGGACGACCTCTCCTCTCCAGGATCAGGATCTAGTAGTACCAGCAGGGGCTTCATGGGAGCCGGTAGTGAACTCACCTCTTTCAAGAGCTCAGCACACCTCCCTGCCAGATGGGACAGCATTGGTTCAGTCAGGAGGGCATCAGATCCCATCACAGGGCCCTGATACAGCATCCTCCCCAAGATGCTGTACTCACCATGTCGGGCCAGCATGTAAAGGCCTTGATCTGTTGTCATTTCCCGGAACCTCCAGAAGCCTGGCTCATCCTCATTCTCAAGGCTCCGAGCTGTGGGGCACAGTAGAATTGGGCTGGCAGTCTGAAGGAAGGAAGTTGCAGGGCAGAGCCCCAGCCCAGGCTGAACTTACTGAAGTACTTGAGCACATGAAATTTTCTACCCTGCCAGAGCAGGGTCAGCTTCAGGATGGTGTAGCGTTCATAGTCTGTGTCCAGTACACGAATCTCTCTGTTGCCTTCAGGAATGTCAGTGACAGGGTTAAGGAGGCTTGCTCAGACCTGAACACTCCAGGGAGCTGACTTTGAAGGCTGGGTCTGCAGAATCTAACTCCTTTCTGTTTCTGCCTAGTGCTGGGCTCTGCCTGTGACATCTGAGACAACAACTTCTGAAGGTCAGCCCAGTACTCTAGTATAGATGAGGGGCTTGGGATCTAGGGCCTGAGAATCCAAGGAAGGACACAGAGAGCAAGGCCAAGGGGAGATGCCCAGGCTCAGACAGCTGCAACTTTGGCAACAAAGCAACAGTACTTACCAGGAAAAGTAAATTCCCCTACAGTGTCTGTTTCTGAACCAGCTGATCTTTCTGTAACACAACTTCCTGAGCTGAAAAGCAACATAGTGTTCGTTAAGAACCTCCCAGCCTGCATTCCACCTGCTTAAGTGGGGCACATTCTTAAGTGGGGCATTCCTTCAGAAAGGATGCTGTCAAGCTCATGACCATGCTGTAATGTAGGGTCCATGCGGAATGGGCCATGCACGGGGCAATGCTGCCCCAGCCTCTAAGAGATCCAGGCAGCTATTACTACCCACATTCTCTTAATAAAGCAATAGGGCTTTATCTAAAGTCCTTGCTTATATTTTGACAGAAAGGCAGATCTAGGAGTCTGAAATCTAGCTTTCTCTGGGGTTAGAGGACCCAAGCAGATAGGCATGGGAAAGACGAGCCCAGATACTGATGAGCTCACCACTAGAAGAGGTATAGCTTTGTCTGTATTCAACTACATATATGGCTCTTCCTTCCCAGCAGGCCACATCCCCAAATGACCCAAGCCTCTTACCTGTTGTATACGGCTTTCACAGTGATGTTCCTCCCACTGAAGGTGAGGAACAAGCCCTCTACCCTCCTTTGAGCCTTCAGCACCAGGTTTTGGTCAGAAGCCACAGCCACTTCCTTCCAGAATCCTGCAATCTAGAGAACAGAAGTAGAGGTATTCCTGGCTCTGCACAGCCAAGCCAAAATGGGTCTCCAGCACATGTGCTGTAGAGGGTGTTTCAGGGACACTCAGGCAACAGTAGGTTTGAGGAGCAACGCATAGTCATGAGACTGGAAGCTACTTGTCCTCAGCCAAGTTTTCCTTCCCAGGGGACCTTTCAGGACACCAGACAGAAATGTCCCTTCTAGAAGATACTGACAAGGTTTACTCCTGGTGTCTGGGGAGCAAGCATCCAGGCCTACAGCTCTCACACTGATGAAGCACGGTTCTACCCATCTCAGTCTCCTGGGATCATGACCCCCTAGAGTGGCAATGTTCTCAGAGCACAGGACATCACCTGAAACTTTTAGAAACTCAGTACTGTTACAAGAGAAAAGAATCTGTGTTCCCCAAAGCCTGGCCCCTCTGAATTTACAGTGTGAGTCTGGAAATTTCAGGAAGGATGGGGAGTTGGGGTATAGAAGGAAGAATTCAAACAACAAGCTGTCTGCTCTGGAGAAGTCCTCTTCTGGCCCCACAGTGCACAGAGATAGGGTTTTAGGAACCCTATGAACCAGGAAGCAGAAAGGAACCCCAAATCTGTAAATCACCAAGGACCAGCCTGAGGACAGCAACTCTGCCTCAAGACAGGTACCACATGAGAGGACTCGGGAGGGGAGGAGTCCACAGAGCTCAGAGCTTCACGAGGGATTCACACTGCCTGCTGTTTTAGGGATGGAGGTCCCAAGAGTGGGTCCAGCCCCTGCCAGCTAGGTTGCAACCAACTGGGAGTTAGATGGAAGGGAGAGAGACTTCCAACGGCTGTATACTCTGTTCCCTCCCTGTCCAACTTCCCATTAAGCCCCAGTAGTGCCTCCAAGCCAAGAGGAAAGAGGCACCTTCTCTGGTACTAGCTCCACCCCGGTAGACTCTGCCTGTAGCAGGAACACCAGGAAGAGTCCGAAGACATTGCTCAGCAGCCTGGCTTCCATCTCAGGGCCTGGCTTGTGACTTCTGTGTATGGAAGGCGGGAGCTTATATTTGGGGAGTGTGCAAGCATGTGCAACCACTCAGAGAATGTCACTGGACAAGGCAGAGATTCTGCTCAAATGTATCAACCCACATCCAGAGAGGGGTTGGATCAAGCTAAGATGGCAATTAAGGTGCCTCATCCTAGCATGTGGACAGTGATGAACCATACAGTAAGACTACACCGACCAAGTCCAGCCCCACCCTCTGAGCTGTGACCCCCCCCCCGCAAGGTACTACTCATCTCACTTTCTCCATTTGTAACAATAAATTTAAAACAATAACAAAATAGTGAGGTGGACAAGGAGGCCTGGGTCACCTACCAGGGACCTCTCATCTTACAGCATCCTGTACTTCCAGGACCACTCTCCACTCTGTGTGTGTGTGTGTGTGTGTGTGTGTGTGTGTGTGTGTGTGTGTGCGTGTGCGCGCGCGCGCGCGCGTTGGGGGAAGGTGTACATATATTTACATGGATGTGGAAGCCAGAGCTCTACCTCAGGTGCTCCTCCAGTACAAGTCACTTTGTGTTTTCATTTGTTTTGCTTCATTAGTTAGTTAGTTAGTTAGTTAGTTAGTTAGTTAGCTAGCTAGCTAGCTGGCTAGTTAGTTAGTTAGTTCATTGATTGGTTGGTTGGTTGACTGGTTACTTATTTTTTTTAAGACAGAGTCTCTTACTAACCTGGAGCGTGCTGAATAGGCTGCCTAGCCAGTGAGCCCCAGAGATCCCCATCTCTGTCTGACGAGCACTGCACCATGTGATTTCAAATACACACCACCATGCCTGGCTTTTTACATGGGTTCTGAAGAAACCACTTTACCAACTGAGCCATCTTCCCAGCCCCAGTGACATGGTTTTTCAGTATATGAAATAAATACCTCTCAGACCACAGAGAATTTTTTGTTTGTTTGTTTTTCAAGACAGGGTTTCTCTGTATAGTCCTGGCTGTCCTGGAACTCACTCTGAAGACCAGGCTAGCCTCGAACACTCGAACTCAGAAATCTGCCTGCCTCTGCCTCCCAAGTGCTGGGATTAAAGGCGTGCGCCACCACCGCCCGGCCACAGAGAATTTTTTTAAGGCAGATAACTTTTTTTTTGTTTTTGTTTTGTTTTTTGTTTTCTGTTTTTTTGTTTTTCGAGATAGGGTTTCTCTGTATAGCCCGGGCTGTCCTGGAACTCACTCTGTAGACCAGGCTGGCCTCGAACTCAGAAATCTGCCTAAGGTAGATAACTTTTATCTTTAAAATCAACTTTATTTGTGATTGATACTAAAACAAAGTCTCTCACTCTCTATGAAAAGAACCTAAAAATACTAATTTTTCTCATGATTGTCTATTTCCTTCCAATAAAAAGGAAAGAAACAGGATAAACTGGAACCACAAAGCACCCTGGATGCAAAGCCCTCCCAAAAGGACTTAGTCACTTGCAGTTCAAATCTCTAACTCCCAGCTTGTGCAGCAGAGATGCAGGTTCTGTGTGCCTGGAAGAGGGCCCCAGGGTACCCCAAAACAGCTCTACCCAGGTCAGCAGCCCTCATCCTGCAGGAATGGTCTCCAATCTTTTGGACCCACTGGAGCTGCTCAAGCCTTGGATAGCTCACAGGAAAGTTGTAACCACTGAAGGCCACCCTCCAGAGGGAGCCAGGCTACAGAAGAATGATGGTGGGCTGTGAGAAAGGTGTGAGGAATGAGTTAGGAGAGGAAGCACACTGGGCGCCAGAAGGAACCATCCAAAGACCTTAGGGCATCAGGAGAGAAGCCAAGAACCCACTGGACCCAACAACAGGCTGACAAGCCAGGGCCCTTGGGGATACAGAGATGGGTTTGGCTGGAGTAGGGAAGGGAAGTGGTGTGGGAGGCACTTGGTTCTCTGGGTGACTGGGTCAGGACGAGGGCAGCAGCTGTGAGGGCTAACTGCTTCCAGTTCTTGTTGTCTAAAGACCACAGACAGGTAAGTAATGGAGCAGAACCAGCCCCTTCCTGATCCCCACGCCTGGCCTTTGAAGTAGACCCATTAAAAGAGTTCTGTGACATGAAGACAAGAGCAGTGATAATCCTGGGGAGGGACCCCTGTATTCCACACACACCTTGTTCAAGAGAAGTGCAGAGACTACACCATGCCACTCCTGAATTTGCCCATCATGTGACCTTGAGTAACCTGCCCAGCCTCTGTGCCTCAGTGTCTCAATCTGAAAAAAAAAAAATAGAATGGACGGAGTGAGTTATGTATCCAGGAGGTCTGTCATGGAAATCACATGGCAGCCAGCCTAGAAAGGTCTCTGAGCACAGTGACCACTGCCCTGATCTATTTCTCAGGCTCCCAGAGGTCCAAAACATTTGCCTGATAATATGGGAGGGATGGGATTAGAAACCCAGACAAGGTCAGCATTATGGCCTTCCTGTTGTTCCAGCTCCTATATCCAACCAGTGAGACCCAAGGGAGCCTACAGCCTATCCTCACAAGGCACCTCGGTTTCTCCAAAGACACTGTGACCCATGGATGCCACATATGCTGTACTTAATTTTCCCCATGGGTGCAGCAACTTCCCTTCATCAAATTTGAATGAAACACTCTGCCTACTCTCCCAAGAGAACCCTAAGTGGCCAGGGGGCTGGGATGAAGAAAGGGTCCACTATGCCCTGCCCAAGTACATCTCCAAAGAGCCAAGGAGCCATGCAGATGCTGAATCTGTTTATTGGGTAGAAGGAGAAGTACAACAGTAGGGACACAGGAAGGAAGGTTGTGGTGCCCAAGAGGGTCTCTCAGTCCCTAAAGGTCACAGTGAGATCGACACTCTTGAGGTTGGCATCTCCGAGTTCATCCTACCCTAAAAGAGCACATCACTCCATCACCACTCCACTGTCAAACATCCTCCATACACCCCACAAGCTAGGCACCTCTCCCAAGGCTGCCAACCCACAAAGACAAGGGAAGATAATTCTGTCACCAAAGCTTCTAGAAACCAGTAAAAACCTCCCACACTGCCCCTGACCCCAGACTAGAGATGCCTCTGCAAGGCACCTTCCCGGACACCATAGAGACCTGCTGCACTTCTGAATCCCTAATTCTTACAGGAGACTGGGCAGAGAGACTGAGACTGTAGTAACAGGAAAAATGACAGGGTGACTTGGCATTGAGTCTATCGTCTTATGTTTTCAAAACTACCTGACGATAGAGAATACATGAGCTTAGCACAGGTGTTTAGATCCATGCACAGTCAAAACAGCAGGCATTCAGGGTAAGCAGGCAGGAGGAGAGAATAACAAGAGGCCTATCATGACCAGCAAAGTACCAACATACAGAGAACTAGGATGCTGGAAAAAGAACAAGAGGGCTACAGATTTGAAGAAACACCACAAACTCTCCCTATCCCAGGATAAGCCATAGGGTGTCACCCCTACCCCCTCTATCCAGGTGACTTTCATACATTCACATATCATCTACTACTATGGCTTTGTGAGTGCCAAAGTTGTCAGCAATGAGCTTGGGTAGGAACTGGGCAGCTTCCCGCCATGGTTTGGTTCGATGGGTCTCCCCACAAACCTGCCTCTATCAAGATCCCAAAGACTTCCACCCCAACCCTGCAGTTGAAAAGCAGTTCTGCCCTCTTGGGGTCCTTGGGAACAGGATGATACAATTAAAGATATGGTACAAGCCCTGGGAGGGGGGCCCAAAGGCTAGGAAAACATGGGGTACACTGGATTGAACAATATCTCCTACCCAGAATCTTCAAACAATATCTTACTGGAAGTTTCTTAACCTTGGTTAAGAATCTCAGATGAGCTGGGTGGTGGTGGCACAACGCCTTTAATCCCAGCACTTAGGAGGCAGAGGCAGGCGGATTTCTGAGTTCGAGGCCAGCCTGGTCTACAGAGTGAGTTCCAGGGCAGCCAGGGCTACACAGAGAAACCCTGTCTTGAAGAAAAAAAAAAAAAAAGAATCTCAGATGATCGTTAGGTTCAGGTGGCCCTAACCCAAACCCACCCTATTCCCATCCTTATGGATGGAAGAATTCAGACAAAGATGGGCAGAAGAAAGAGACAGATATTAGTGATGCTGTCAAGACTAAGGCTGCCCAGAACAGAAGACACAGCAGAAGCTGGAGGATGGCAGTAGGGTTGGCAAGAGCCCTCTTCCAGCCTCCTGGACTAGAAGAGAATTCTTTCTGTCTCTTTGCCCTGGCGTATTATGATGGCCCCAAGAAACCAGTGTGGCTTCTTCTACCAGACATGTCTAAGCTAAAGCCATAAGCATGAGGCTTGACAGGTAGGAGGGACAGCAGATTTCAGGAATAGGATAAAGGCACCAAGGATCGTGCCATCCCAAGCTCAGAAGAAAACTCACCCTGAAATTCACCTGAAAATGTTGGCACTGGTCACTCGCAATGCCTGAGCACCTCCTAGCCCAGGGGAGCACACATGGGAAGATCATTGATTTTCCTTCTTCCCGTCAGCTACATCCCTGGGTGCTTGGGCCCTGCTCACCCCTACAGTCCTCCCAGAGCTGGTTTAAGGATCATCACTCTCAGGAGCTCCTTAGCTGTGCTGGAGATAGAAGGGGCCTAGGCAATGTAGACCTACACTCTCCAGAACTGAAGGGATGACCCAGGCACATGGTCTGGTGGGCTAGCTCAACTAGTACCTGATTTGGGTGGCATTACCATCATGTTACCCAGGAGCCCCATTGTTGGGTAGAAGTCTCAAAAGGACTTCAGGGCCTGGGGACTGGGGTCTTAGGACCTGCCTGCTGCAGAGAAGTGATTATATGTGCACCCCTCACAGTGGCTGTGCCAGAGGCAAGAGAGGCAAGAGAGGGGTGACTAAAGAGTCTCCTAGCCATGGGTTCAGAGCTAAACAGAGGAATCTGGAATGGCTGAGAAGCCCTTAAAGAATGTTCAACATCCTTAGTCATCAGGAAAATGCAAATCAAAAGGACTCTGAGATTCCACCTTACACCAGTCAGAATGGCTAAGATCAAAAACTCAAGTGATGGGCTGCAGAGATGGCTCAGAGGTTAAGAGCACTGACTGCTCTTCCAGAGGTCCCGAGTTCAATTCCCAGCAACCATATGATGGCTCACAACCATCTGCAATGAGATCTGATGCCCTCTTCTGGTGTGTCTGAGGACAGTGACCATGTATTTACATAAATAAAATCTTAAAAAAATATATATACCAAATAAACAAAACCACCTCAAGTGGCAGGATGTGGAGCAAAGCAGCTCTCCTCCACTGCTGGTGGGAGTCAAAACTGGTACAGCCACTTTGAAAATCAATGTGGCAGTTTCTCAAAAAATTGGAAATAGTTCTACCCCAAGACCCAGCTACACCACTTCTGGGCATATACCCAAAAGATGCTCCACCATCCCACAAGGACGCTGGCTCAACTATGTTCATTCATAATATATTATTTGTAATATAATATAAACTATGTTTATTTGTAATAGCCAGAAACTGGAAACATGCTAGATGTCCCTCAACTGAAGAATGGATTTTTTTAAATGTGGTACATCTATACAATAGGACACTACAAGACCATTAAAAGCAAGGAAATCATGAATTTTGGAGGCAAATGGATAGAACTTGATAATATCACCCTGAGTGAGGAAACCTAGAGCCAGAAAGACATGTATAACATGTACTCACTTATAAGTGGACAGCCATAAAATGAAGGATAACCATGCTGCAATCCACAGACCCAAAGAAACTGGGTAACAAGGAGGGCCAAGGGAAGATGTGTGAATCTCACTCAGAAGGAAAAACAAAATATTCATTGGAGGTGGATGGAAAGAGGGAACTGGGCGGGAGAAGAGGAGAGGAGGGGGATGGGGATGGGTAGCAGGTGTGGGGAGAGGCGGGCGGGAGAGGGCTGGGACTAAGAATGGAAATCAATGAGAGGTGCATTTCTAGAATAAGCAGGAGACCTGGAACTGGTGCCAAGGGGGAGGCTCCAGGGAGTCTATAGGGGGGGGACCCTAGCTGAGACTCCTACCAGCAGGGCATATAGAGACTGAAGTGGCCACCTCCTGTAGCAAGGAGGGACTTCCAGTGGAGGGAGGAGGACATCAACCCACCTTCAAACCAAAATTTGTCCTGCCTACCAGATGTGCAATGATAAAGACGGAACAGAGAGTGAGGGACTGGCCAGCCAATGACTGCCCCAACTTAAGACCCATCCCATGTGAGAGAGCCAACCCCTGACACAATTCATGATACTCTGCTATGCTTGCAGACAGGAACCTAGCATAAGAGTCTCCTGAGAGGCTTCATCCAGCAGTGGACAGAAATAGATGCAGAGACCCACAGCCAAATATCAGTCAGAACTAGGGGAGTCTGTGGAAGACTTGGGGGTAGAATTGAGCGAGCCAGGGGGGTCAAGAACACCACAGGCATACCTACAGTCAACTGACCTGAGCCCATGGGGGCTCACAGAGACTGAGCCACCAGCCCGGGAGCACGCAGGGGCTGGACCTAGGCCCCCTACACATTTGTAGCAGATGTGCAGCTTGGTCTTCATGTGGGTCCCCTAACAATTGGAGCAGAGGCAGTCTCTGGCTCTGTTGCCTGCCACTGGATCCCCTTACTCTAGCTGGACTGTCTGGCTGGACCTCAGTGGGAGAAGATGCATTTAGCCGTGCTGCAACTGGATGTCCCGGGGTGGGGAGTGGGGATGGGGGTAGAACCTAAGGAGACATATCCTTCTCTGAGGAGACGGGGAGGAGATAACGTGGGAAGGACTTGTAAGGGTGAGGCTGGGCTGAAAGGAGGGATGGGGGGATGATCAGGATGTAAAGTGAATAAAGAAATGAAGGGGAAAAAAGTCTTCAAGGCTCATACCACTTCCTAGGGCCCTGATAGCAAGGCTGTTGGCTGTGTACTGTCCCTCTACAAAACCTATCCAGGGCTAGGCTTTATGTCAACAAGCACATGCATGCATACATACACACACACACACATACACACACACACAGACACACACACACGTTACACAGCCTCTTATTTTGCACAGGTCCTCATGGAGGCCAGGGTGCTCACTTTACACTAAGCCCTGTCTCCTCAAATATCTTTCCCTGAAGCTTCCCTATACCCCCAGCCTCTGGCTCTCATCTCTCCATTTTGGAAGGTGAGGAAAGTTAAAGCAGAATCAACCTCAGACTTGGGGAAGGAAGGAAGGAAGGATTCCCACCCTAAAGAGCTATCTGTGTAGCTGGTCCTTAGGGACCCCTGCCAGCAAGCTCTTCCTGGTCCCTTGCCACTCTCTACCACCCACCTCCACCTACCATCCACCATGCCTGTCCTAGCCAGCCTGTCCCAGATGGATGAGATGGGGGAAAGTCCTAAGGGGTGAGATGTGGGACAATCCCAAGCATGACCTAAACGGGGGCAAGGAAGGAGTGAGAAGCAGGATAGAGCCAGCGGGGAAGGGGAATCTGGGGACACAGAGAGGTGAAGTGGAACCAGGCATCCAGGCATCCTCTCACTGTAGAGCTGGACCATGGTGCTAAGTGAGCCTTCCAGCTCCTTGTTGACACAGACCACTGCGGTGGAGCTTTAGTCAGCATCAGAGACGCAGACATCCAGGTAGTCCAGGGCTGCACAGGAAGTGGCAGAGGTGGCTAAAACATGGACAGGCGTTGGCTCCACCCCTGCTGTACCACACAAGTGAGACCCTGGGGAGGGGATGAACGTATGGAAGTAGGGTGCTCCTCAGAGGTCCCTGATATAAGACCGTCAGATGTTCCCATGTGGTATTAATAATTTCAATAAAGCCCAGTACCGGGTTACTACGCACCTCAATGGTTTATGTTCCCAAATGAAAGACACACACAGCCCTTATATTTTAATACACCTTAAGCAGCACATGAGCTAGACAGCTGCCTAACCTCCATGTTGTTAGAATTTACCTCTCACTGATAAATCCAAGTTACTACTTACTAACTTTATGTTCCATCTGGGCCGCTCTTGGCCCGGTTGAGCAGCCCTCTGAGTCACGTTCTTTTGGCCTTTTACATGATGGCCCTGCTTCTCCCTCCTACACCTTATTACCCTTCCATGGCAACCTCTGAGTCTCCCTCCTTCCTCCTCCTCCTGGTCCCAAGCCCGGGAACCCTAAACCCCACCTATGTCCCACCTCTCCAGCTAGTGGCTGCTGGCATCTTTATTTACCAATCAGAACTGGGGGCAGGTTCCCTGAAGCTACATGCTGACTCCAAATCTTGGTGGCCAGCACTTAGCATCAGAATACAAACAGTGTTAGGCCAACCTACTACACTCCCAGAAGGCTTCCTGATCCCTAACAAGATTTATCTGGAACTCAGAAGTACCCCTGGGTCCCTATCCTCAGGAATTAACCATCAACCTAGTTACAGTCATTACCCTGGAGGGACAGAGCCATCACTTCCTGCTTGAGTACCTGGCCCCTTCCCAGCCTGCCAGCCCACAGGCTAGAAACCCCATGAGAATATTGAGGTCATCCTCCACAGAGGCACTGACAGCTCTGGTGAACATCAGCACATAGTCCTTGGTGTCTAGTAAGACAGTGCAGTAGGGTACCATGGCAATGACATGCCAGAGACCTGAGGATTTCAGGACGGTTCTGTGACTACGGGCATGTCAACCTCTTTGCCCAAACCCGAGGGACAAACCAAAGACCAGAGAAGCAGGGGCCTGCGTGAGGTTGCACAGTGAGAGTCTCTGCCAGGATGGTACCACTGATCACCTTGAGCCTCTATTTCTCACTGTTGAATGGCCCACAGAGGCCTTTGTCCAGGTCTAAAGCTTTCCTTGACTAGTTTCAGCTGAAGCTGGGTCCCTCCCAACCTGGGCACAGCTGGAGGCCTATTACCTTTTAGGTTGCAGGAAGCCACAGCTTGAGCCTCAAAAAAGCAAAGGTATCCAGCTCAGCAGGACTAGCCCCATCCCTACACCTGCTCTCTAGCCCTGACACCCAAGTCACCCAACCCCAGTAGCACCGACTTAATAGATCAGCAAAACCCTGGGTTTAGGTTTGGGGAATGAGCAAAAGGCACCTTGGAAACCCAAGTCACAGAGAAGGCAAAGGCTCTCTCACATTGTCAGGACTTATATTCCACACGCCTCTGTGTATCCTCTAGCCTGTTTAGATACAGGATACCGCTGGGAAACAGGCAGACTTGGATTTACCCTGGCAGTACTCCCATGCTTGCTACTAGGATGTTAAGTACCATCTGATCCTCCCTGCCTCTCTCTCATATCCAACTCTGGGCTGGGGTCACTTCTGAGTTTGTTTCTGAGCTTCATCCTGGGGCACAGCTTGTACCAGCACAGCCATGAGACAGCCCTGGGCGTCCTCCTTCCAGATACCTCCAGCTGGGCCTTCTACAAGCAGGAGGGGCTGGGCAGCACTTAAAGTGGACTATGGTATCAATGGCTACCTTATCACTAGTCTCAGAAGTGTGTATGGAAACGGACATCAGGGAGGCACCAGGCTGGTGAAGGTCAGACCCAGGAAAGGTCTCTCTAAGTGACCTTTGTCACCACAGACTACCTATGGAACCTGGCCTCCAAGCAAACTACCCAGAACCCTCTAATTAGGATTCAGGGTCCATTAGAGAGACCAGAGCCATAAGTCATCCAGGGCACTGCAGACAAAGCATTGGGTCAGAGAAAGACCCTCAGTGACCCTAAGAGATGGAGGGACAGGGCCAAGGGCTTGACACTTCTGAGACATTTCATGAAGTCATCTGTTAAAGTTAAAATTTAGAATGGCATTTTCATGGGCTGACTAAGTAGCGGTGGCTCTGTTTAGCTCTGCCACCATGTTCTGTGGCCAGAGGCCATGCATGAGCCACAGCTAGAAAAGGCCAGCCAGAAACACTGACCCTGCACCCACCAGATGCCAGTGTAGAAGATGGCTCTGCCAATCTACCACGCTGTCTCCACAATATTTGGTTGAGCCCAGACCATCCCGTCATCCACACGGTACCCAGTAGAAATGAGACTCTAATGTTTAAAGATTAACCAAAGTCTTTATATATTTAGAAACGCTCAATTAACAAGAAGCCCACACAATTAGAGGTATTACCCAATACCTAACCTAGATATTACAACTACCTTAGACTGCTAGAGACACACGCACATCTGTTGCCATCTTCCCCTCTCTCCTCTGGTCCTCTCCCTCCTAGCTCCTCCTCTTCCTTCTCCTTCCTTTCTTCGCTCCTCCCACATCAGCTCCTCCCATACGATGTAGCAGCAGCAGGAAACCATTCTGCTACAGTCATCAATGTCACAGGATAGAGCAGATAAAGCCTTCCGGGAAAGGATAACCAAGGGACTGAAGTCAGACACTATGACCACTTCTGGAGATTCTATAATAAAAAGCTAGCCAAAGCACATCACCAAAAAAGGTAAAAGGTTTGCGGGCTGGGGAGATGGCTCAGACAGTAAAGTACTTGCCACACAAGCACGAGGACCTGATGTGGATCCCCAGGGTCTACATGGAGAACTGAAAGCAGCAATGAGGGTCTACAGTCCTAGCACCAGAGAGGCAGAAGCAGGCGGGTCCTGGGACTCCCTGGTTAGCCAACCAAGGCATATTAGTAAGTTCCAGATTCAACGAGAGACCCTACCTCAAAAAACAAGGTGGGGAGACTTTTAGTCTCTGCATGCACACACATACAAATGCATATGTACATAAATATGTACACATATATAATGTATACACAATACATTCACATGCATATGTGCCAAAGATTTGAAAAGACCTTCCACTGAGGAAGACATCCAGACAGAACATGATCAAATGACAAGATGTCCATTGTCAATCATCAGAGACATGGAAGTGGACACGGTGTAGATCCAGATGCACACATCAGTCAGAATGGTTAGAGTTTTCGGAGACATGCCCAGTGCTGGTGAAGATGAGGAACAAGGGGACCCCTCCCATGCTGCCAAGGAAAGCAAGATGGTCACATTGAGAAAACAAGCCGTGAGAACCCCTAGGCCCAGACACAGCAATCCCAGCAATTTACCAAAAGAAACAATTTGTGTTTACAACAAATCAGCACACACTGACTATTAACTATCACTAAAACTAGAACAGCTGGATGCCCTCCACAGTGACCACACTGTGGCAGAAGCTGCTCGAGAACAAATGTTGTGAGCCTCTGCAACATGGCAGCATAGCCATCTGTCTTGGTCAGGGTTTCTATTCCTGCACAAACATCATGACCAAGAAGCAAGTTGGGAAGGAAAGGGTTTATTCAGCTTACACTTCCACATTGCTGTTCATCATCAAAGGAAGTCAGGACTGGAACTCAACCAGGTCAGGAAGCAGGAGCTGATACAGAGGCCATGGAGGGATATTACTTACTGGCTTGTTTCCCCGGCATGCTCAGCTTGCTTTCTTATAGAACCCAGGACTACCAGCCCAGGTTTGGCACCACCCACAATGGGCCCTCCCACCTTTGATCACTAATTGAGAAAATGCCTTACAGCTGGATCTCGTGGAGGCCTTTCCTTCTGTCTCTGTGATACCTCCAGTTTGTGTCAAGTTAACACACAGAACCCGGCCAGTACTCCATCTCAAACGATTCTGCTGAGGGAAAGAAGCCACTTTGAGAAGTCTGCAATTGCCTTTCTCCTTTTATATGGCATTCTATAATGGGCCAAGCCCCAGGGACAGGACATGGCTTGCTGATCATGAGGGTTGGAGAGAAGTGTGAGGAAGCTCTTGGGAGGTGGGGAGGAGGGTGGCTGTTGGGAGCCTGAGAGCCAGGTGGGGGCGCTGTTGGGAGCCTAAGAGCAGTACTTCCATGTCTGTATCTCTGGACTATGGACCCAGGTAGGCAAATCCTACTGTCTGTAAATTGTCTCAGTGTTTGTAAAGCAAGTGAAATCATTTCCTTATGTGCCATTTCACCCTGGAGGTTTCCCCGCAGCTACAACCTGACAAAAGCTACATAAGGAAGAAGAAGGAGCTTATTTGACTCACAGTGTGAGGGTCAGATCTATCATGGTGGGGAAGTCACGTGAGTCAGGGCTTCAGGAGCTTAAAGCATCTGGAAGTTGAGCGATAAATTCACTCTAGATGCACTCTGTATTCATTCTCTCTCTCTCTCTCTCTCTCTCTCTCTCTCTCTCTTTTTCTCTCTCTCTCTGTTTCTCTCTCTCTCCCTCTCTCTCTCTCCAGACACAAACACCACAGACCTGGAAATGAATTTTCATGACACCAGTCCCTAACAGATGATCTGACATGTGAAGAACATGAACGATAGATAGATAGATAGATAGATACATACATAGATACATAGATGATAGATAGATAAATACATAGATGATAGATAGATAGATAGATAGATAGATAGATAGATGATAGATGATAGATAGACAGACAGACAGACAGACAGGTAGATAGATGATAGATAGATATGTTGCCTGCTGTTGCTGAAGGCTAGGGTCTCTGTAGGACAGTAGCACTTGCAGACAGGACATATGTGGCAGTAGCATCTTCCTTGTCCTTCAAAGCAGATGATGTTCCAGACCCCAGCCACTAGCCCTGCCAGTCAGACCCCCTACACCCTCTCCTTGGTGTCCAGCACAGGTCACAAGGTATAGACAGGACCTCCAATATATCCTATGGCCACAGTAAAGAGTAGTACAAGCCAGTATTCTCCTCAGAAGGTCGGCGGGCAGGGCTCAGCACCAAAGGGTGGAGACACTTCTGTAAAATAGCCCCTGGGTTGGCAGCAAAGGGCCAACCTTTGTGTATATAGGTGTGTACATAGGTGTAAACAACAGATTGATGGTGATTTTAGGGGTGCACAAAGTCCTGCCCCCCAGATGGGAAGCTGGGAAGGGGTCCACGCGGCAGTGGGCAGTAACCTGAGCTATAAGAACTTCCTTCTCAGCAAGGAAAATGTTGAACTGAAACAATATTGACACTGTGGTTGTAGTGAAAGAGGAGGACATCTGCCAACTACCCAACCTCCCTATCCGGGGGACGCAGAAAGACCTCCCCAGATTTTGTTGGCACGGGCATTCCTGTGGAGTCCCGCTGACAGGGAAGCTGAGTACAGGGAACAGACTGGATGGAGTACCACGCGCCACGGGCCTCTGTGAGCCATGCAGTATGGCAGACACGTCGTGAGGTACAACAAGCGCCAGAACACTACCTGCAGCCAGCCAGGGCCAGACCAAAGACTCTTGCACAGGAGCCAGGGAAAACTACTCAACCTAAAGGACACTTTGCTCCTCTAGCCACCAGCGCCCTCTTCTGGCATGGAGGGGAAAGGCAGCGCCTGCTACAGGCCTCTAGCTCTCTGGCCTTCCTCTTTCTGGGATCACTATTCCTCCCACCTCCAAACTCTCCCTGCCTCCCATTACCCACTGCTCCTGGGAAGGAAAAATTCAATATGAACTGTGTGCCTTGGGCCTTTGGGACATGCCATAACTGTGGGTATTTGAGCCATAGTGGAAAATCTGTGAGGAAGGCCTGCCCTAGAGGTAGGTCTATATACTTCTCCTGGAGTGTCCTGTGATCACCTCTCAATGGGGGAAGATCCCCCAAGACCAGGTCAAAAAGTGTCTGGCCACCACTTTATTGGTAGCCAGGTATCACGAAAACAAAGTACTACCATCCTTCTCCCTGTCCAGGCCTTGGCCAGCTTGACTCACAGGCAGCTCTTGCCACTCACAGCACTGCTGGACAGTACCATCTACCACCAAGGCCTCTCTGCCCAGGGCCAGAGCCAGGCTGGCTGAAAGATACTATTACAAACTGTGCTCTCCTGGGTCCTTGGACAAGGCCTTGGCGCCCTGCCTGCACGTGGGGATGGTCTGCAGAGGGCTGAGCATCACAAGATGAGCTGGAGAATGGCCAGCAGACCTGGAGTCCACGACAGACAGGCACAGGGTAAGCTCCACCAAGAAAGGCCACGTGAGGACACACCGGGAGGTGGTCAGCTCGAGAAACCAACCCAGGCAACCAGTGAGCTTTTTCCTGCCTCCTCTAGAACCACAAAGAACTGCTGCCGAAGGTGCCTAACAGCCAGATTTCACTGTGGTCTCCCAAGGAAGACTGCAAGGATCCTCCAAAGCCAGCCTAGGATGCACAGGATGTTCAAGGACAGCCTGAGCAACTTGGTGAGACCATGTCTCACAATAAAAGGTAAAAAGAGAGTTGAGGTTGTAGCCTCATGGTGCAAAGTTTGTGTGGCCTGCACAAGGCCCTGGGTTCAACCCCACATTACTACAAAAACAGATTTTAAAAAGAAAATGAAAACCAGGAGGTTCATATCTTTAATCCCATCACTGGGGAGGCAGAGGCAGACAGATATCTGAGTTCTAGGCCAGCCTCTTTACTGATCAAGTTCTAAGACAGCCAGGGCTACTCAGAGAAACCCTGTCTCAGAAAAAAAAAATAAGCAAATATAAATTTAAAAAAATTAACAGATGAAAGAAGACCTAACTTGCTAAGACTACCAGCTACAGGGCTGGGATACAGCTCAGTCAGTAAAGGGCTTGCAAGCATGAGAACCAATCCCCAGAGCCCACATAACAAAAGCCAAGCATGGAATTAGGGAGGTGGCTCCATGGGCTTGCTGGCAAGTCTGTGGACCCGAGTTCACATCCCCAGTACCCACCTAAAAGGCCAGGGGGAGGGTCCTAGGCACTTGCCCCACAGCCATTGCAGCCAAATATTTACTTTTTCCTCTTTGTTGTACTAATCTTATGTGCTTTTTGTGCTCCACTTTGCTTGTGGAATGCTTTCAGAGGTGAGTGCTGTTGGCAAAGCTTTGAGGTTTATTGGTTTGGGGTGTTTTGCTTTGTTTTGTGTTGTTATTTGGGAATCTCACATCATGTACCCTATCCCACTCACCTCTCAGTTCTCCCAAGTTTGCCCTTCCTTCTCTGATAAGAAAAAAAAGGAGGAAAAGGAAAAAAGTCCATTTTATGTTATCCATAGTCTCACTGGAGCCAAGCCCAAGGACATCAGGAAGGCATCAGTCAGTGGCAGAAGCTAAATATGTCCCCATGGAGGAGAGGGACCAAGATGCCAACATGGCCTTCTGGACCACAGTGGTGGACCATTGCCAGGGTACTCCCATGGCGACGTGGCCTGTTCTCCTGAAGGCATCTTCATAAGCTATTGCAGTACATCCCACTGTCCCTGCTGGGCAATGAGTGCATGCCAGCTGCCTCTCTCTCTCTCTCTCTCTCTCTCTCTCTCTCTCTCTCTCTCTCTCTCTCTCTCTCTCCATCTCTCTCTCTGTCACCATCTCTCTCTCTGTCACCATCTCTCTGTTACCATCCCCCATCTCACCCCATCACCACCATCATGTCTCCAGTCCCTCCTTTCTCTGTAGTGCAGGCTCTGCTCTGTTTTTCTCTTCTCACTGTTGAGGTCCAGGGGTCTCCCCACAACCCACAGGAACACCACTCTCAGTTAAACAGGGTTGGTTTATTGAATGCACACCCCAAGACTGATGAGCAGGGCAACAGCTCAGGCTGGAGCTGAAAGCTGTGCACTGGACACTTCTCAGGGCCAGCTTATAAAGGCTAAGACTGCAAAACCACAATGAACTCATACACAGGTACTGGAAGTGCTGCCCAGTAGTCGGCCCTGGCTCAGGTCATTTTAGACATAAAACTCATAATGACTTTTAATTTGATGGGTCCTAAGTGAAGCTTGTGGTTCTGGAATTTCTTAAGATTAACAAACCTCAGAGCATACAGAACATATCAGGGTATGTGGTCAGTCTATTACTATTCTGTCTAAACTCCACCTCCACAGTTACCTGGCAACAGCCGGGTGGGCCTAGCCCACTGTAGGGGGGGCTGCTTGCCACCTCCTCTCTCTCTTAATTTCTTGAGCTCTTGACTCTGGCTTCTCTCTGTCCCCTCACCCCTGTCCCCTTCCCTTCCCCCACTCTCCATGTGGTCATGGCTGGCCTCTACTCCTCTGTTTCTCTGCTTTCTCTCTCTCTCTCTCTCTCTCTCTCTCTCTCTCTCTCTCTCTCTCTCTCTCTCTCTCTCTGCCTCTACTACCCTTCTAGCTCCCCTCCCCATTCCCTGAATAACCTCTATTCTATGCTGTACCAGTGTGTGGCTGGTCTCTCACGGGGAAGAGATGCCTCTGCATGGGCCGGCTGAGACATCCCCTTCCCCCACACCTCTCCACACCCACAGCATACTCTCTTTATCTCTTTATCTTTTTGTTTGTTTGTTGTTTTGTTTTTTGGGGTTTTTTTTTTGTTTGATTGGCTTTTGTTTGTTTTTCAAGACAGGGTTTCTCTGTGTAGCCCTGGCTGTCCTGGAACTCACTCTGTAGACCAGGCTGGCCTCAAACTCAGAAATCCGCCAGCCTCTGCCTCCCAAGTGCTGGGATTAAAGGTGTGCGCCACCACCGCCCGGCCTCTTTATCTTTTTATAAACATATCAGTCAGCATGACCTGCTCTGACTCAAGTTGTTTTTCCTGTGTCGATGACTGGCAGACAAATTACAGCAACACGAAATAGCTGGGGGCATGGAACAAAATGGCTACAGCTATGCTGGGGAGGGGTGCCTCAACACCCACCTCTCCATCACATATTTGTTCTTTGTAGTGGCACCCACTGCCCTGGGCCTTGACATGGCAGGCAGGCCTGGGTCTGTAGCCAAATCTTCAGATTTGCTGAGAGAACCTGTCTCAAAATATAAGGTAAGATAAGTATTCTTGCATACCAATAGGTTTATATCCTAAGATATTAATATACATGTTGAGGAAAACATATAAGAACCCCCCCCCAAATAAGATAGTAGACAACTGAAGACATGGGTGTCAGGCTCAGGGCTACACACTCACAAACAGAAAAGTAATGCATGCTTGTAACCCCGGCACTAGAGGAGCAGAGACAGGTAGATCCCTGGACTCAATGGCCAACCAGTCTAGCCTACTTGGCAGGCTCTAGAGCCCTCTACCCCACCACTCACCTCTCTCCAAAACAAAAACAAAAAGCAAAAAAATAAAAAAACAAAAACAAAAAAACCAAAACCCAGTCACTTCAGCAGACATGATCCTTCCCACTTGAGTTCTCTTTAGTCCATTTAATGTTGGATGGTTATAAGGTCACTGTGGCAAGTGATAATGTGGAAAGAACAATGCCCAAGGTTGACCTCTGTCCTTGACACACATGTGCACACACAGAATTATCAACTACAGAAAAATATGCCACAGTGATCTTATAAGCATCCAACATTAAATGGAATAGATAGAACTCAAGTGGGAAGAAATTTCTTCTCACAAGTTTCCAGTGAAGTTTTTATTTTGTTTTTGTCTTATTTTAGAAATAGTGGGGAACAAAGCCAGTACCTCACATACCTGAGTGAATATTCTACCACTGAGCTACATCCCATGCCCAATTTAAAAAAAAAAAATTAAGATGGAGTCTTACTATTTAGCCCTGACTGACTTGAAGCTCACCATGTCTACCAGGCTAGCTTTAAAACTATATAGATCTTCCTACCTCTGCTTCCCCAGTTTCAGGATTAGAGGCATATGGCACCATTCCTGTCCAATTTTTAAAATTAAGGAAGAAAAACACTAAACTTCAACTGCATAGTGTAGGAAGTGATTAGCAGCTGGGTGGTGGGAGTGCACACCTTTAACCTCAGCACTCAGGAGTGCTCTCTGAGTTCCAGGACAGCCAAGGCTACACAGAAAAACCCTGTCTCCAAAAACAAAACAAAAAAAAGAAAAGAAAAGAAAAGAAGAAAGAAAGGAAGGAAGGAAGGAAGGAAGGAAGGAAGAAAGAAAGAAAGAAAGAAAGAAAGAAAGAAAGAAAGAAAGAAGAGAGAAAGAAAACAGGAAAGTGATTGGCAGGGTTGAAAAGACAGCTCCTGAATACTGCTTTGCAGAGGTCCCAGTGCTCAAGTCAGGTGGCTCAGGACTCCCTGAAATCCCAGCTCCAGGGAGCCACTCTATTCTAGCCTCCTTGGGCACCTTCTTACTCATGCACATGCACACACACATACACACAATTAAAAACAAAAATAAAATCAAGAGGCAGGAACGATGGCTTAGCAGTTGAACACTGGCTGCTCCTCCAGAGGACCAGGGTTCAATTGCCAGCCCCACATGAAGGCTCACAAGCGTCTGTAACTCCAGTTCTAGGGGACGCAACGCCCTCTTCTGGCCTCCCTGGACACTAGGCATGCATGTGGTACACAGATATACATGCAGGCAAAACATCCATATGCAGAAAATAATAATCCTTAAACAGAAATAAAAATAAAATCTAAAAAATAATCCAGGCGTAAAATTGGCTGAAAGGAGGTGATGCTAAAAAATGTTTCCCACATTAGACTTTTTTAGGTTTAACATTTTTTAAATTAACTTTACTTATTTACATCCCTAGACTTTTTATTTTTAAAAGATCCATGGACTGGGCTGTGCTCAGCCCGAGCCTCGCTTGCTGCAGTTGGAGATGGGGGAAGCTACTGCTCTGTTAGAGAGCTGGCTTTTCTGATGAACCTCAGGGGTCAGGCCTGGGGCAGGAAAGAGCACACTCTGCATGAATTGGTGCCAGTGAGGACAGAGAAGACCTGATGGCCTTGAGGCACGCCAGGGAAGGAATGGCGCAGAGCACAGCTTGCCTAGTCTGCTCCACAGGCAGGAAGACCCAGGGAAGCTGCAAGATGCTCGCTTTCAAGGAAAGGAAAAGAAAGGGCCCCTAGGCAAAAAAGAGACTCAGAGCCCCACATCTTTCTCTGTAGTCAAGAGCAGCCTCTGCGTGTTGATGCATCTTCTAAGTCATCCACACCAGTATGCCTTGCTCCTGAAGAAAATAAGTTCTTTTATAAAGGGACAGCGTTGGTTATGGGAACTTTGCCCAGGACTCTGGGTCGCTCCACAGATGGGCACAGGTGTAATAGACAGACAAGTGCTGAGGACAGGGCAATAACTGCTTATATTTTTGGTGAGCCTAGCCTTTGACGGCTGAGCCATGAGATTGGGGTTAGTAATGTAAGAATCTGGGCACGGTTTAAACAGACAACACAAGGCTGACCCGGTTCCACGGGAAGGGGTTTATTTAGGGAGAGGGGGAAGAGAGGAGCGGGGAGATGGTGGAGGAAGCTAAGAGAAGAGGAAGAGAGGTTTATTAAGAGAGGGGGGTAGAGGAGTGGAGGCCAGCCATGACCACATGGAGAGAAGGGGAAGGGAAGCGGGGAAGGGAGACAGCAACCTGCAGGTGCTGGGTCAAGGGGAACAAGAGAGAGAGGAGGTGGCAAGCAGCCCCTTTCATATAGAGGGCACTCTTTTATAGAGTGGGCAGGGTTACCTGCTGTTGCCAGGTAACTGTGGGGAGGAGCGTACCTGGCTATTGCCAGGTGACTGTGGAGGTGGAGTTTAACAGAATACTAACAAGTAATTCCTATTGCTTTCTTTAGTAGATGGAGAACTAAGACACAGAGAGCCAAAGACACTTCCTGGACATCACATAGCAAGTAAGGGGCCACCAGAGGAGAAGACCAGGCCTGGCTGGATCCAATGACTGAGGGGATTGGTAGTGTAATCTTCTGGCTCCTTCCTGGGTTGATAATGGCAAACAAACTCCTCTGGTGGCTGGGACACAAAGCCAGAGACAGGAAGAGACATTCTGAGACTCACCTGATGTAAATACAGGGCCTCCTAGGGAGCTTCAGATGCAACAGTTACCAAAGGGTCAATGGGCTGGGGTACCTGGCCCGTGAAGCCAGGCCCTGGAGCCAGGCCGATCCTGGCGGAGAGGGCTTTGCCAGTCGGAGCACAGTACCACATCCAAAGCAGCCTCAGCCTGTACTCTACACCCCAGCTGTATCCATCACCTGTCTACATCCTTCTTCTCCTGTCACCAGTTCCTTGACCATGCCACTCAGGTCTCCACGGATACACTGCTCACTACTGAACCCTAGCCATGCCAGTGCCAGACTTTGCAGTAGGTGGGTATTAAGATATACAGGGCAGGGCTGGAGAGATGGCTCAGAGGTTAGGAGCACTGTCTGCTCTTCCAGAGGTCCTGAGTTCAATCTCCAGCAACCACATGGTGGCTCACAACCATCTGTAATGGGATCCGATGCCCTCTGCTGGTGTCCAGGTGTAATGCAGATAGAGCACTCATATACATAAAATAAGTAAATCTAAAAAAAAAGTAAGGTAGGCAAGGCAGTCAAAACGAGCGTTCTGCTGGCCTGGAGGGCCAGCTCGTTCATGGGCCAGTGGCCAACGAACGCCTCACACTCTGTCAGCAAGGCTACTCCTGTCTGTTGTGCACACAGATGGAAGGCTGAGGAGTTCAG